TTTATCAAAATTGGATTTGTTTTCGAATTCTTTGTGGGTCTGTGTAATCTGAGGGAAACATGTGTCTCTAATATGGTCATACATTTGGCAGGAGGTTAGGAAGTGCAGCTCAGTTTCCACCTAATTTTGTGGAAAGTGTGCACATAGCCTGTCTTCTCTTGAGAGCCAGGTCTGCCTACGGCGACCTTTCTCAATCGCAACGCTATGCTCACTGAGTCTGTACATAGTCAAAGCTTTCCTTAATATTGGGTCAGTCACAGAGGTCACTCAGCAACAGCCTGTCTCACTGCCTGACAGTCAGGAGTAAGTCACAGTGAAATATATACAGTGCCTTCGGAAAGTATTCAGACCCCTTGACTTTTTCCACATTTTGTTAGGTTACAGCCTTATTCTAAAATTGATTAAATTGTTATTTTCCCTCTATCTTTCTATTCTTTCTATCAATCTACACACAATACCCCATAATGACAAAGAAAAAACAGGATTTACAAAAAAATGAAATATCACATTTACATAAGTATTCAGACTCTTTACTCAGTACTTCCTTGAAGCACCTTTGGCAGCGATTACAGCCTCGAGTCTTCTTGGGTATGACGCTACAAGCTTGGCACACCTGTATTTAGGGAGTTTCTCCCATTCTTCTCTGCAGATCCTCTCAAGCTCTGTCAGGTTGGATGGGGAGCGTTGCTGTACAGCTATTTTCAGGTCTCTCCAGAGATGCTAGATTGGGCTCAAGTCCGGACTCTAGCTGGGCCACTCACGGACATTCCAAGCAGGCTGTCGTGCATTTTACTGAGGAGTGGCTTCCGTCTGGCCACTCTACCATAAAGTCCTGATTGGTGGAGTGCTGTAGAGATGGTTATCCTTCTGGAAGGTTCTCCCACCTCCACATAGGACCTATGGAGCTCTGTCAGAGTGACATTCGGCTTCTTGGTCACCTCCTTGACCAAGGCACTTCTCCCCCGATTGCTCAGTTTGGCCGGGCGGCCAGCTCTAAGAAGAATCTTGGTGGTTCCAAACTTCTTCCATTTTAGAATGATGGAGGCCACTGTGTTCTTGGGGACCTTCAATGCTGCAGACATTTTTGGTACCTTTCCCCAGATCTGTGCCTCGACACAATCCTGTCTCTGATCTGTACGTACAATTCCTTCGACCTCATGGCTTGGTCTTTGCTCTGACATGCACTGTCAACCGTGGGACCTTATATAGACAGGTGTGTGACTTTCCAAATCATGTCCAATCAATTGAATTTACCACAGGTGGACTCCAATCAAGTTGTAGAAACAGCTCAAGGATGATCAATGGAAACAGGATGCACCTGAGCTCAATTTTGAGTATAATAGCAAAGGGTCTGAATACTTATGTAAATAAGGTATTTCTGGTTTTTATTTGTAATAAATGTGCAAACATTTCTAAAAAAAAATGTTTTCACTTTGTCATTATGGGGTATTGTGTGTAGATTGCTGAGGATTATTTATTTTTTAATCAATTTTAGAATAAGGCTGTAACATAACAAAATGTGGAAGAAGTCAAGGGGTCTGAATACTTTCCGAAGGCACTGTATATTTTTAAAAGAAATGCCTTGGCAGCCACGGTGACATTTAGAAATAGCCCAAAAACCCGCAACCCGTGACCAATACATTTTAACCCGCGACATAATTTTCAAAGTTGCCCAATTTTACAGGAAAACTGCACACATGGCAACACCGTGTATGGCAGGAAAAATAGCTAAATAGGGTGGAGACCCGGTGTAAATCAGTGACCCCTCGCTACACGTCAAACCAATCAAATGCCTTGCTTGGGCGGAGCTCCAATAGTGCTCACTAGATTAGTGTTGTAGGTGCAACAGTGCGTGTCGATTCCTTTTACGGTCTATGGGGAGGATGGCTGGGAAATAACCAATTAAATGTTGAGTTTGTGTATAGAGCACACTTCTGACAAAACATAATTCAGTTTTTTCTCCAGTATTTCTTCAATTTTCTGCAATGTTGCAAACGGAACAACTCTCTGCAAAATGTGTCCTTCCCGGTCTGAAAACAGTGACGAACATAACACATAGCACCAATGGGCATGTGGAAGGAGGGTTCTAGAAATGTAACATCCAATCAAAATCTTGCCGCTGGGAGCCAGCTGACCATTCAAACTGTTTTTGCGATACAAAAATATCCAGACCTCCAAGGGAGGCGTGACAGCGATGTGATTTTGGAGGAATGGCAACGCGAGACTACTACTAAGACAACATATGGAATTGTTTTAAGATGGTCATACCAAGGACAATTTAGCTATTTGATTTTTAGGATCCCTGTAATTATCCCAAAACTTATTTAACAAATTATTTGATGAAACATTGGATTTGGCCTTACTGCTATTAGCCCATTGAATAACAACAGATTCAATCATGGGGAAAAACAGTAAAAAATGTTATCAAAAGGAAGAATGTTTTGAAGTGTCTGTCCTATATCTGAGATAAGTACAAATAAATTAAAATGTTTTTACTGTGAAATTACCTTTGACGTGGAAATGCCCTATTCACCTCCATTAATTTTTCAGCCGGGTACCGGGTTATCTTCAGACGTGTCCCGTGACACTTGGGGGTTTGTAGTGCAAAACGGAGAACACCATTGTGCCCACCTTTCCATAGAGGGGTCATATTAATTTGTAGGCCAAACCGTTCGCACATTACAGACGTTTTCGTGAGAAGACCGTTTTTCGAGATGTTTCCTGGTCTGACAAACACCACAGATGCAGAAGGCCGACATCGACGGATTGAGATGCAGCCCATGCAAAAAACATATCTGTAGCTTTAACAGAAGATTTTGATGGGGATTTTTATATTTATTTATGCCAGATGAGCATGAGGTGACCACAAGCGGATTTTTATTTATTTCAATTTAAATAAAAACATTGTGTTAAGCCCAGCTCATGAGGCCCCTTGATGATGTGAGGCCTGGGGCAATTAATTGCCTCTACTGCCAAATAGTAAGTCTGCCAGTGCTTATATGCAGTGTCATCCATGTTCAAATAGTAGATGAGCACTATCTCAAAGTAATAATCCAAATGTCCACTAAAGGGCACTATCTTCTATAAGGTTTTACTAAGACGCATCACATATTGGGAATAGTCTTGTGAAGGCCAGTGTGGATGTAGGTTTTTGTTCCAGTTTGTAGTTGACTACAGAAGTTAACATAGCTCTGGCAGTGAAATATCTATCCAACCATAAAGCTAAATTACATGGTTAGGGAGCTAAACAGTCTGTCTTAAAAGTTCAATTTCTTAATATTACTATACTCGGGAACCAGTGCACCATTAAACAGCATTGGGATATCAATTTCCAGACTACCCTAAAAAATAACTTCAGGAACAAAGTCCTTATTTATATTTTACCTTCGCCACACAATGGCACCTTTATCTGTGAATGTATTTAATCATGAAACAACACATATTTTCGTGTGTATGTGATTATGTATGTGACGGTGTTAGTCATAACAATGCAAAAATGAATCGACCATCTTTATTTACCGACGGAGGTCTATAATAGCAGGGTTAGGATTCACACATCTGTTGAGCACTTGGCTGACCCACACACACAATTGTATTTATTTCAGAGCAAATATGCAGTAGTGCTGCAGTAGGGTGCCAGAGGGAAAATCAAAATGGAGGATCTTCAATCACCACAGGAAATACTGCAGGAGCAGGTTCACATTGATATCAGTATACTAGGCCCCGTTCAGCAGGGTGCGATGTACAGAGCGTTGCAGAAATGCCATGAGTAGAGATGACATGACTCAATCTACGTCTGTTCTATACAATACTTTCTATCTGAACGTTGCGCAATGCGGGGCACTGCTGAATGCGGCCCTGGAATGGTGTGTAAACAGTGTGAGAAGGTCTGAGGGCTTCCAAAGGACCTTGGCTGCATCACAAATCCGTGGCTTCCTCTCAGTTTTTTCCTTACCTCGGACTGATGTGTCAACTGTTTTCAGATCAGTGCAGGTAGAGGAAACAAGGTGAGGAAGCCACTATGTCATTGAGACGCAGCTTATGAGTTGTTAAATGAAACCATACAGGGGGAATGGTTCACCTATAGAGCTAAAGATGTCAGAGGGATACATTTTAAATCATTGAAGTCTTCCTTCCCCCTGCTATCGAGTCCTTTGAAAACTATTTTCTATTCAAAATACCTTTTAATACAGAACTGATTTAGGCTCGACTTTAAAAATGTGTTAAGTGTAGTGTATATACACTTAAATAGTTATAATGGAGCCTAAATTATTAGATCAACGATCCAAGGCATGTCCCTATCTGCACCATCAGAAATAATATAATCTCACCCCAAGATCTCTTACCATGAATTTCTTTTTCAGGCCTATATCATAGAGGTCTAGGCCTTAATTAAAAATAAAAATAAAATACATAAAACTGCAGAACTAAAGCAAAGTCCTTGAAATCTCACTGAGTGATGATACAGTAACCTCTTCAGAAATACCCAGTATGGTAAGAGCTAGTTGGCTTGGGTTCCATCACAGCACAGCCTGGTTTGAAGTGATCATATAGCAAAGCAAGCTATGGGACACCACAAGCTCAAATGATAACTCTTTCTCATACCTTATATTTGGACATGCGTATTTTCAAGCAGCAATACAAAAAAAGTATTAATGAAGAACGCATAATCTCTGAAAAAAATACTGTATGAAAACGTCCCTGCTACCTTGTCTCTAAGTACAAAACCTCTACCAATAATTTGCTCCGGAAGTAGCAAGAAGTCCTTTTCTTTTTTATATCTTTTTTTCCATTTCTGTTTTTTTTCTCATTTTCTTTTTAATAAAACGGGTAAAATTCAGTCCGCAGATGCGAGTGTCATGGGCCATGACAGTCTTCTCCATCATATAATTTTTTCGGAAGGATCCAGAAACATGCAAGCCTCGTAGAGAAGGGGCCTAGGGGGTCTGCCCGGGGGTCTGCTAAGGGCTCCTGGGGGCCTATGGGGCAGCCACTCCATCTTAGGCCAGGGCCGGGAAGGCCTCGGGGTCGTCCACGTTGGGCACGATCACCCCGCTCGGCTGGGAGGAGGGTTAGAGGGTTGGGAAAACAAAAAGGAACGAGATTGATCAGACGTATACAGTGAAATTATGACAATGTCTGTTGTACTTAAACAATCCAAATTCCCTTAACTTGAACTTGCATAAATCTTTGCCACAGCAGCCGTAACAGACCAATAGTAATTATACGGAAAAAATATATACTGAACAAAAATATAAAACGCAACATGCAACAATTTAAAAGATTTTACTGAGTTACAGTTCATAAGGAAATCAGTCAATTTAAATAAATAAATTAGGCACTAATCGATGGATTTCACATGACTGGGAATACAGATATGCATCTGTTGGTTACAGATACCTTTAAAAAAAAAATGGGCCTCAGAATGACGTTGCGGTATTTGTGTGTATTCAAATTGCCTATCGATAAAATGCAATTGTTTGTTGTCCATAGCTTATGCCTGCCCATACCATAACGGGGCACACTGTTCACATCAGCATATCGCTCGCCCACACGACGCCATACACATGGTTTGTGGTTGTGAGGCCAGTTGGACGTACTGCCAAATTCTCTAAAACGACATTGGCTTATGGTAGAGAAATTAACATTAAATTATCTGGCAACAGTTCTGGAGGACATTCCTGCAGTCAGCATGCCAATTGCACGCTCCCTCAAAACTTGTCTCCCGAGTGGCGCAGTGGTCTAAGGCACTGCATTGCAGTGCTAGCTGTGCCACTAGAGATCCTGGTTCGAATCCAGGCTCTGTCGTAGCCAGCCGCGACCGGGAGACCCATGGGGCGGCGCACAATTGGCCCAGCGTCGTCCAGGGTAGGGAATGGCCGGCAGGGATGTAGCTTAGTTGGTATAGCATGGCGTTTGCAACGCCAGGGTTGTGGTTTCGATTCCCATGGGGGGCCAGTATGAAAAAAATAAAATAATAATAAATACACTCACTAACTGTAAGTCGCTCTGGATAAGAGCGTCTGCTAAATGACTAAAATGTAAATGTAAAACTTGATACATCTGTGGCATTGTGTGACAAAACTGCACATTTTAGAGTGGCCTTTTATTGTCCCCAGCACAAGGTGCACATGTGTAATGATAGTGCTGTTTAATCAGCTTCTTGATATGCCACACCTGTCAGGTGGATGGATTATCTTGGCAAAGGAGAAATGTCGTTTTAGAGAATTTGGCAGTACTTCCAACCGGCCTCACAACCACAGACCACGTGTAACCACGCCAGCCCAGGACCTCCACATCCAGCTTCTTCACCTGCAGGATCGTCCAAGACCAGCCACCCGGACAGCTGATGAAACTGGGGGTTTGCACAACCTGTCAGAAACCTTATCAGGGAAGCTCATCCGCTTGCTCGTCATCCCCACCAGGGTCTTGACCTGACTGCAGTTCGGCATCATAACTGACTTCAGTGGGCAAATGCTCACCTTCGATGGGCACTGGCACGCTGGAGAAGTGTTCTCTTCATGGATGAATCCCGGTTTCAACTGTACCGGGCAGATTGCAGACCGTGTATATGGCGTTGTATGGGTGAGTGGTTTGCTGATGTTAACGTTGTGAACAGTGCCCCATGGTGGCGGTGGGGTTATGGCCAGGCATAAGCTACGGACAACGAACACAATTGCATTTTATCTATGGCAATTTGAATGCACAGAGATACCATGACGAGATCCTGAGGCCCATTGTCGTGCCATTCATCCGCCTCCATCACCTCATGTTTCAGCATGATAATGCACGGCCCCATTTCGCAAGGATCTGTACAGAATTGAAGCTGAAAATGTCCCAGTTCTTCCATGGCCTGCATACTCAAACATATCACCCATTGAGCATGTTTGGGATGCTCTGATCGACGTGTACAACAGTGTGTTCCAGTTCCCGCCAATATCCAGCAACTTCGCACAGCCATTGAACAGGAGTGGGACAACATCCCACAATCAACAGCCTGATCAACTCTATGCGAAGGAGAGGTGTCGCGCCGCATGAGGAAAATGGTGGTCACCCCAGATTTTTTTTAAAGGTATCTGTGACCAACAGATGTATATCTGTTTTCCCAGTCACGTGAAATACATCGATTTCCTTATATGAACTGTAACTCAGTAAAATACTTGAAATTGTTGCATGTTACGTTTATGTTTTTGTTCAGTGTAGTATTAGTAGTCCTTACCTTGTCAGTCCGGCCTCCGCGGACCGGCCTGGTGGGGGCTCCACCATCACGCTCGCGGGGCTCTCTGGGTTCACGCTCGCGGAACTCTCCTCGGAACTCTCCTCTGCCCTCTCCACGCCCACGGCCCCCCCTGCCACCACGGGGTCCACCACGACCACGGCTGGGGCGGCCCAGGTCCCCAAAGTTTATCTCCAGCTGGGCTGTGATGTCATTGGCCGGCTTCCGGAAGTGGTGATCATCCTCTGTCTGAAAGTCAGTGGGGGAAGGAGAGCGTCGGCAATGACTGAACATTTGTTTCCTGCACACACGTCTGAGCCACATTCAGTCATCTTGATGTACATGTTTGTGGGTGCGGGCAGAGAGCGTGTGCGCGTCTGTTGGATGTGATACTCACCTTAAGGGCGACTCCCTCAGCCTCCACTGCAGCTTCAATCAGAGTATCATCTTTCTTCTCCTTTATTGGAGAGAAAGAGGGAAGAAAATGGAGTTAGGAGGTTATGGAAAACCAAACGGAGGCCAAGTCAGTTTTGTGGTTTTGACAGTCCACTCACGTCCTTGGACTTGTGCAGCACGTATCCTTTCTTCCACTGGCTGTCGGCTCCCTCGTTGGCCTTTCGGATGTTGAACTCCACCTTGGTTTTCTCCTTGTCCTGCTGGGCCTTCCATTCATCCAGAGTCATCTCCTTGGGTTCCACTTCCTTAGGTTCACCAACCTCGTTCTCCCTACAACACACAGATTACAAAACAGAACTGTCAGAACACACAACTGGCTGGAAATAGTATTAAAAAATATGGAGGAAAAGCCTTCCGCCCATGCTGTTAAATCCCTGAGGGGGAGAGAACAATCGGGGAGAAGAGGGAGATGTGGTAGAAGGCTCAGCCCTCTCAACTCACTTATTCTCAGAGTCGGCGGGCGGATGCTCCTCTCCCTCAGGGGTCTCCTCGGTCACGTTTGATTGGTCGAGCTCGCTGTGGAGAGGAAAAACTAATTTAGCTTCACCTGTGTGTGTCCACATTAGCTTAGCTCCACCTGTACATTAACACCTGCTGAACAGCCCTGTGTGGCTGCATGGCATTCCCATCCACGTCACTCATTCTCATACATTCAATATGCTGACAGGTGACGCTACCAGGACAATATAGAGACTAGGCGTCTTGACTCAACATGTTGACTTTAGTTTACACATAACTAAACAAGGTAAATCAAAACTCCTTACTGTCTTTTATAGAAAGTCTATTGAGAGGGTGTGTTGTGCTAGGTCGGCAGTGCAACTCACCCCATCTCATCCTTGACTGTGCCCCAGTTGTGAGATCCACTTCCACCACGCTTCTCCTCACCTTTCTGGCTGCTGAAACAACGTCTGGGCTTTAGCTCACACCTTCACTTCAAAACTCTCCAGCAAAAAAACAGTTTCTCTCAATGAGACTACCTTGGATGGAAAAACGTTAAATAAGTCGTTCTTATACTTCTAGGGCCAGTTCCCCAGACACAGATTAAGCCTAGCCATGGACTACAAAGCAAGCTCAAGGGAGAATCTCCATTGAAATGTATTTTTAGTCCAGGATTAGTCTTAATCTGTGATCGGGAAACCGTGGCTCGATCGCAACCAACAGGCAGAACCTAACGTGCTCCTGCAGGTTACCGCTAGATTTCTTAAAACGCTACTAACGGGAGATTACATGCACCTGCGGGCTAAACTACGCTTGATTGCAATGAAAACAAACCCACAAGGATAAAACAGCAGATCAGTTGATCGCGCGTTGTTATCATGTCAAGTGATTATGATACCAGACAGCTGGTCTAGATTCTCTACTCCCAGCCCCCAATGAAAATGACCTATCAGGAGCATTGGAAACCAAGGCTGATGAATGTAAAAATACCGTGAGGCCTATATTTCATTAAAATACTTCACCTTAAATGGCAAATTAATATATTAAGATTTACTTTCATTAGTTACACATTTCAAATCTTGTACTATCCAGGGATATTCTCTCCCCCCCCCCCCCCAATCTTGATAAGAAATGCCCATATCAGACAATTTTAGTTTAAAGATAGTTGTATTTAATGGATTACATAAATTGGAAATTAATAAAATAACAGTAGGCTACACCATCAACATTACTTTTCCATTCATACAACGTGTCGGGTAAATTGCCACAGTAGATTTGCCGTGGTAAACAAGGAAATACTTTATTTCAGTTGTACGGAATGATTGTAAAATAGATAAATCGCCCTTAGTCTGGTCAACTAGCAAGATTAAACATTTTCCAATGATAATGGTCCTCTGTAGCTCAGCTGGTAGAGCACGGCGCTTGTAACGCCAAGGTAGTGGGTTCAATCCCCGGGACCACCCATACACACACAAAAAATGTATGCACGCATGACTGTAAGTCGCTTTGGATAAAAGCGTCTGCTAAATGGCATATTATTATTATTATAATACCCACCAGAGGGTCGAAATAGTCTTGGAAAATGTTGGTTGCAATCACGACTAAAAGATAACCACGACATCCGCGTTATGTAGAGGTAAATCGGTGGCGGATGATGGTTGCAATTGAGAACAGCTATGCGGGTGACTTTAGCTCGTATTTATGGTTTAAGGAGAGATCAGCTGGTGATATAGTGGCCACCAGTGGCTGCAATTGGCCCAGTGTTTTCCAACCCTGGACTAAAAAGCACTTTAGAACAGAGATTCTCCATTCGAGCAGGAAAACGGCCTAATAATGAGATTTCATTTATCCATCCCTGAGTTAGCTAGCTACATCATTCACAACATGACACAGAAGACTTACGATCGATCGCTGCCGCTGTGTCTGTCGAATTCACGCTTTCCTCTGACGTCGAAGCCGTCGCTCCTGCCCATGCCCCGGCCCCTGCCGCCCAAGCCCCGGCCCCTGCTGCCACCACGTCCTCTCATCGGCCTATCACCAATGGGCCTGGGGAGACCGACAAGGAAACAGACCAATCAGCAGCCTGCCTCACAGGAGGGAACAGTTGATGTGTATTCATTGAGGTTAAAACATTCAGAACGTTGCAGATAGAAATGTAACAAATAGAGTCAACACGTTATCTGAACGATCTCTAATGTTACATCCTCACGAACAGACCCCAGTGCATAACTAATAGGTGTTTCAGACATTAAATGCTACAATGAGGACCCAAAACACAATGTGTGATCTATCACCAATACTGTGAACTACACTGAAACAGTATTATACCATACATTACTTATCTTTCCTTAGGCAGGGCTCTACGCTGACCTTTTTTACAAGGAGCACGTGTGCGCCTAAATTGAAAAATGTAGGCACACAAATAAAATGTAGGAGCACAATGAAAAACATTAGAGGTAATAAAATCTAGAATCCTTCATTTTTCTAGGCGCAATGCCTCAAATAAAATTCCAGGGCACATAGCAAAATATTTAGGCACATTTGTGAGTAAAATGGTCACACTGTAGAGCCCTGCCTTAGGCACTGTTTGAATACCTAAAAAATATTTGTCCTTCTTTAGAGTCATCATTGTTGGATTGTGAGCCCCCCCAAAAATCCCCTGGCTATTCATGATAGACCAGCAACTCTTTCCACAAAGGAAGAAAGGACGTATTTGAAACGCATTTAAACAGGGTTTATATACAGTGAGGGGAAAAAAGTATTTGATCCCCTGCTGATTTTGTACGTTTGCCCACTGACAAAGACAAGATCAGTCTATAATTTTAATGGTAGGTTTATTTGAACAGTGAGAGACAGAATAACAACAGAAAAATCCAGAAAGACGCATGTCAAAAATGTTATAAATTGATTTGCATTTTAATGAGGGAAATAAGTATTTGACCCCTCTGCAAAACATGACTTAGTACTTGGTGGCAAAACCCTTGTTGGCAATCACAGAGGTCAGACGTTTCTTGTAGTTGGCCACCAGGTTTGCACATATCTCAGGAGGGATTTCGTCCCACTCCTCGTTGCAGATCTTCTCCAAGTCATTAAGGTTTCGAGGCTGATGTTCGGCAACTCGGACCTTCAGCTCCCTCCACAGATTTTCTATGGGATTAAGGTCTGGAGACTGGCAAGGCCACTCCAGGACCTTAATGTGCTTCTTCTTGAGCCACTCCTTTGTTGCCTTGGCCGTGTGTTTTGGGTCATTGTCATGCTGGAATACCCATCCACGACCCATTTTCAATGCCCTGGCTGAGGGAAGGAGGTTCTCACCCAAGATTTGATGGTACATGGCCCCGTCCATCGTCCCTTTGATGCGGTGAAGAAGTTGTACTGTCCCCTTTGCAGAAAAACACCCGCAAAGCATAATGTTTCCACCTCCACGTTTGACGGTGGGGATGGTGTTCTTGGGGTCATAGGCAGCATTCCTCCTCCTCCAAACACAGCGAGTTGAGGCCAAAGAGCTCCATTTTGGTCTCATCTGACCACAACACTTTCACCCAGTTATCCTCTGAATCATTCAGATGTTCATTGGCAAACTTCAGATGGGCCTGTATATGTGCTTTCTTGAGCAGGGGGACCTTGCGGGCGCTGCAGGATTTCAGTCCTCCACGGCGTAGTGTGTTACCAATTGTTTTCTTGGTGACTATGGTCCCAGCTGCCTTGAGATCATTGACAAGATCCTCCCGTGTAGTTCTGGGCTGATTCCTCACCGTTCTCATGATCATTGCAACTACACGAGGTGAGATCTTGCATGGAGCCCCAGGCCGAGGGAGATTGACAGTTATTTTGTGTTTCTTCCATTTGCGAATAATCGCACCAACTGTTGTCACCTTCTCACCAAGCTGCTTGGCGATGGTCTTGTAGCCCACTCCAGCCTTGTGTATGTCTACAATCTTGTCCCTGACATCCTTGGAGAGCTCTTTGGTCTTGGCCATGGTGGAGAGTTTGGAATCTGATTGATTGATTGCTTCTGTGGACAGGTGTCTTTCATACAGGTAACAAGCTGAGATTAGGAGCACTCCCTTTAAGAGTGTGCTCCTAATCTCAGCTCGTTACCTGTATAAAAGACACCTGGGAGCCAGAAATCTTTCTGATTGAGAGGGGGTCAAATACTTATTTCCCTCATTAAAATGAAAATCAATTTATAACATTTTTGACATGCATTTTTGTGGATTTTGTTGTTGTTATTCTGTCTCTCACTGTTCAAATAAACCTACCATTAAAATTATAGACTGATCATTTCTTTGTCAGTGGGCAAACGTATAAAATCAGCAGGGGATCAAATACTTTTTCCCCCTCACTGTATATTACCACCCTTTTCCTACACACCCTGCTGTGCTGTAACAGGTTAAGCTAAGTGACAAGGCAAAGCTGAGGAACTATCAGTGAAGGTGGCGTGACTTTCTCTGCTGCTAAACAGTAGTGGAACCCATAATTAAGATGTGGTTGGGTTACCTCTGACAGCCTGAGGGGAAATAGTCCTGTCAAATGGAGAAGGGGGTTGTTTTTGTTTACACAATAAAGGCCTGGTTAGTGTCCATTTTAAAAGAACAGTACTGTCCTACATTCGAGTGCCGGTGTGGGTTCAGTCTTTTGTATCAAAGTCGTAAATGAGGACTAATATCAGTTTATTTGTGAAATCAGATGGGTTACTGCTAGGATGGAACAAAGGCCTGCACACACACAGATCTGAGTCTTGTTATTGTTTGGGTTAGTACCTGTTTAAAAATAAAAAATCTCCCATTTGGTGCCAACTGAATGTACCCCTGCGCCACCCAGTACTCACTTCTCCACAGAGAACTCTCCTCCCTCACCAGGCTTCTCCTCTCCGCCGGGGGGCCTCTCGAAACGGCGTGGTGGCCGTCTGTCAGTCCGGGGGGGTCTGTCTGTAGGGGGGCGGCCCTCACCCTGGAACTCACGGGGCGGTCCACTAGCTGGGCCCTGACCCTCAGGTCTGCGACCCATCCTCCTGGGACCAGGTCCTGGAGCAGGACAGAGCATAGGAATTATTAATCCTCTTATGAGAGACAATTTACAGTTAAGGTTCTTTGAAAAACAAAAGGAGTACAAGAGTACTTTTCTCTAGAGTTTTTCTAGCAAAGATAACTCAAAACAGGGGAGTGAAATGGAGACTACTGTCATTAAAGCTAGAGCTTTTCTCAAGACCAGTCTCCAAAAGAGAGCAGGACTGATGTACTGGACTAGAATGTAAGGGCTTAATCATGAAACATGGAGGAATACAATTAAATGTAAATGTCCTTATAAACAGATGAACTGACATTGAACTTCGTATTATGCACCATGCCAGTACTAGCAGATGGAAACATGCCCTAAGTCTGGTCTGACAAGTCCCTCCCACTGTTGACCAAAATAGACTCCCACCCCTACACCCCAGCAGCTGAATGCACGTTGATGCACCTGTCTCTTCTTCTCTTGGGTTTACATTTTTTGCTTTGTTTTTGACTGGTGTAAGTAGGATGTAACGTGCTAACAATACAGGGGCCTCCTATTTTACTTTTAGATTGTGTAGATCCGTCTAAAGTTAGCCAGTAACGTTAGATTACTCACTAATACGAGAACGTTGTAAAAGTACGTGACAAATTATTTGGCCAATTGATAGTCTTATCTAACGTTGTTTGTTCACTGAGTAGTTGGAAGCGAGCATACTCGTGAAGCTGTTATCTGACAAAAACAACAAACGCCCATATTCACATTAACAACCGCGATACGCAACGCAAGATGACATCATTCCCTGCCTAGACAACATGTTGGTGCTGTTGTACACCCCAAGCCACGAGGTTGGTCACGACGCGGGATAATAATGCGGGTAGCGAAAGACTCGCTATCTACGTTAATTTGTCCAGTTACTTGGTTAGAAAACAACCCTCAAAAATATAACCAAGAGATTCTAGTACGATCGCTTCGCTTGTGGAAGTTGGCTTACAACCAGGTGTAAATACACGGTTCGCTAGTTGGGTGAACAATTTCAGTTGCACGAAACTGACAATTCGCCAATCGTGCATTTAGCAAGTATGTAACTACCCATCCAACACTGATCAAAAGGTATTTAGAAAACTAACAAGCAAATTACTTTGGTAAGTTAACGTTAGCTATCTAATTAACTTGAGGCTAACAATCCTGGCTAAACAAGGCACCGAGTAAGATGCGTTTTATTGGCAGCAAAACAAGTTCGCCTGCAAGTTATTTATCAGGGGACACAATACTGTACCACGCACACTATCGTGACAATTTTTTTGTTGCAATGAATGCGATAACAAGCTTCTCAACTTTAGCTGCCAACTGAACTGACGCACAAAAGGAATCATGTCGACCTCATGGAGGCTTTGAAACCATAGTTAGCTAGCTAACGTTAATGCTGAACTATCCAGCGAGAACTGCGACTTTGCAGACCAATCCGACATTTATTACAGGAAACAGTCTTACCATCTTTCTTCAGAGGCACGGGTGCCAGAGGCTCATCTTTCTTATCGGCAGGGACCATCTTTCTGTCTTTCTGGGACTCCTTTTTCTGGAGCTTGGCGGCTTGAGCTGCGGTCTTGGCGGCACCAGGGACAGGAGCCTCCTTCTTCTTGTTCTCGGCCTCCTTCAACAGCTCGAACGGGTCCGACTCGTCGTCAAATAGTTGGTCGAATCGGTTTGCTATGGCGCAGCCGAAACCTTCTTGCATATGTCCGGGCATGATGGCGCCCCTTCAGCAGGATTTTCCTCCGATTCTACGAGGCTTGGTGCGAACACTTCGCTAAATGACGCCACAAGATGGCTGGGAAAAGGACCTTCTTCTCTTCCGGCGTAATAGACATCCGGGGCCTCAACTTTGGCGCCGGGTGGGGCGTGTAGTTCTTTGATGAGGGAGAGTTTCGCGAAAACATAAGGGGCGGCTCACTCAAAAAACTACAGTACCCACAACGATAATGCCTTTTTTTTTCTCCATTTGACAAGCATGAATGTTTTTTTATACCTGTTGTAGTTTGTGTTCAAGCATATACTTTGTATGGGAGATCTTTCTATACTCATCTAAACCCACTGTATACTATACACACACTAGTCATACTCACCCTCAAACCCTTTGCTACATTGTTTCTCCATAGTCATTTAGCAGACGCTCTTATCCAGAGCGACTTACAATTAGTGAATGCTTACATTTTTCATACTGGCCCCCTGTGGGAATCGAACCCACAATCCTTGCGTTGTAAATGCCATGCTCTACCAACTGAGCTACAGGAGGGCCATAGTGCTTTGCCATATCAATTTGGCCTGCATACCCAAGTATGTCTTCCAAATCTAAAACACTGTTCTGGTAGTCAACTGAGACATCTGTGCATATTTCAGAGCAGTCAATGGTTTGTGACCTTTGTCAAAGTTGCGTCAATTCAAATCTGGCATTAGGAACAAAAGAGGTCAACACGACTTCTAAGATATACTAGTATTTTAATTAATATAAAACCTTCAATGGTAAATATGATGTTTCGTATATACGGGCTCCTTGAAATACCTCGCAGGGCACTTCAGAGAACTAAATCCATTGTTTCAGATTGTTCTTCAAATACTCTTACAGAGAGAGAGTTCCCACCTCTCTGCTGGCCAATCAGAGTAGAGACTTGAGCGTGGTTTAGACTTACTCAGCCAATCCGTTGGCGCACAGGCTAGTCCCCCGCCTCTTAGCGCATCCCTGTTTCCAGGCATACGTTTATCATAACAACCTGTCATAGTGAGAAGAGCCAGCTCCCCTAGACACCATTCCTACGTCCAAGGAAGGTTCACAGATCACAAAGAACCAGTATAGTCTAGTATTTGGAGACACAAATCCTTATCTCATTTTACCCCCTAAAACAGCTCTTCACATCAATCACAGCTTGCCAGGTGACACAACCTACATTAGCCCAGTCAAGAATGCATTCTTTCTAAGTTAGTCATCCCATCAATTATAAAAATAATAAATCCCCCATAATCCCCCTTTTCACACCCACTAGGGTGTGATTCAAAAAATAAGAAAACACAGGGTGTCAGTCATTAAAATACAATACAAACAAAAAGAATCACACTTTTATTAATAGGCCATAATGATACTAAAAAATTAAAACCCTCAGTCCATCTACACCCAACTTGCAAATTGTTACCAGTCATCAAAGAACTTCAAACCATAAAACACAGGATTAATAGAACACAAAACATAAGACTATTAAAACATAAAACACAAACAGAGATGTATATTTTGGCCCCCTTTAGACACCCTCTAGTGTCACTCCACCAAGCCTGGTAGGTCATATCCTCCATTCCTAGGTTGGAGTCCAGGATTGGGCCGTATCTCACCATCTGTTGAGAAACCACCTTCTCCATCTCCTTTCTCACCAAACCTCAGACACAGGAAATAAGACAACATCCACAAAGAACAAGTATACCCATAGAAGCTATAACTTCACCCAGAATAGTTACAACAATAGTTTTCCATTTATCAAATATGTTATCAAACCAACCGTTTATGGAGCTATCAATACCAGAGTTCTCAGCCAGTTCGTTCGTCAGCGTAGTTACTCCCTGAAGCTCTTTTGTCACGGACCCGTCCGGTGCTATATTGTTTGAGGATGAAAATACAGCACATATATCCAAACAGAACACAAACTCCGCCCCGCTCAGCCAAAAGCATATCTAAAGCTATTCTATTCTGCCATGTCATTAAGCTAGTTGCCGCTGTCTGCTCAGCTAATCCCTTTATTGCATCACGAGTGTGGTTTATAAATCTTTGCTGGTTATAGTAAATATAATTTATCCAATCTACGTTTTTATTAATTGTTGACCACCAAAAAAGACTTGATTCAAACTCAGCTGCGATCTGATTCCTAGCTTTGAATTGTTCTGGAACCCCTCGAGGTACTCCTATCCCATCAATATATATATCCTTTCATCAAAGGATCCCGGGAGGAGGTCCTACTTTCTACGTGACAACTCACCAGTCTCTGACACGTTTGATTGTTTACATATGTAGGTGAGTTCACAATCAGTTATCACCACACAACCATCAGATGTCAGCACGGGCCTGGTTTTGGATCCTAAAATCCTCTGGCTGCAACAAAGAGGAGAGATTAGTCATGTTCTCTTTTAGTTGTGATATTCTCTGTGTGGGAGCAGGAGCTAAGATGCCCTACTCTGTATCCTATCTTACTAGTCCTAGAAAAACAATTAGAATCCCCTGAGACTTCAAACGTAGGCAACCTAGGTCGGAATGACTTTGTTATCGGGGGATACAGATAGTTCAAGTTACTACAAGACTCTTTCACCACATTCCCAGGTGGCTTGCATGGAGGATAAACCTGTTTTTGCATACTTCAGACTTTCAGACAGTACCTACCCTTCTATGGGTCGCACTGCCATTTCTGGTAATTCCCTACTTTCACAATACTACACCTGTCCCTAAACTGTGTATGGAGATTTACATATCCCCCCCGCTCGGTATGAGCAACTACATAATCCCAGGATGTACATGGTGACATACATATGGTGATGTCCTTCCCTAAAGTCCCTAGTACTTCCCCTTTCCCTACGTCTAGCTGTCTCCTATGCCTTCGTAGACTGTGCTCAGGTATTATTTTATCAACTTGTGTTAGGTTAACTACTACTTCTGGCTGATCAGGAGGGTCTGAGTGTGTTAGGAATATGGCCCCCACAATCAGACAGCTACCTACCGTCGGGAGACCTGTGAATCCCCACCCTCGCCCTGAGAACATGTCAGACGCCAACCCATTGCTTCACCTTCTACCGAACTCACACAGGGATGATCAGACAGGGTAAGGGAATCTTCGTTAAGGAGCCAACCCCCGAGCCCTAGTGGTGATCGGTTCTTTCTCCTAACTCTGTGTTTGTTCATCAGGTGTAACTGGGTTTACCTTTTTGCAGTGTGTGACATGCACCCAGGTGGATCTAATAGGACTTGATAGGGCCCTTCCCAACAGGCCTGCTTCCAGTTTTTCTTCTTTTAGGGACTGGATCCACACCCAGTCTCCTGGTGAGATAGAGTGGGTCACCTTCTCCTTTAGTTCACCTGTGGGGCACAAAACCTCTGACATACGGGTGTGGTTAATAAACTATCTTCACACATACATGTTGAGCTCTCAATTTCTATTGTTGTTTTTTTTTTTTTTTTTAGTATTTTGTCCTCTCCTTCGTATATATTTATTATTTAATCCTATCACTCCCCCTTTTTGACACATGATTTGCCCATGTGTTAATATTACCACCTTCCTAAACCATCCCTTATGTAATTTATCATCCAATTGCCATGCCTTTCATTTTCGAGATTGTCTTTTGCTTCTTTATTGCTCCTCCCACTTCCTTTGTCTTTTATGGCAGCTAAATTCGACTTTCATCCAGTTCAGAATCAATTAGTAATCCAATCATCAATCTCTTATCTTGTAAAAACACTCATGTTTAGTTCAAACTCTGTTCTACCCAGGCTCTCCCGGGCTTGACCTGAAGACTGATTGTTGGACATGACAAGTCCATATTTAGGTCACCTAAGTCTTCTGTCTAGCAACAAAGAATAAAAACCTCTATGTTCATGATTAACCCAGTTATATCTAATAGCCCACCAAAAAAAAAAACCCTCATCATCTTTAAATCACGACCAATGTCATATCCCTCTTTACTCTCTACCATTTGGATAACATCCCTGATGTATGTATGCCTCCTTAGAGTTCCAAATTATTTTACCATGGGCTGCCATTGCCTTCCCATAGATAAGATCACTTAATTTACCCGTATGCAGTACATAATGGAGTACCCAAGCGTTACAGCAGTTTATCATTACCAAAAAGCTCATCATTTGTTTTTTTTGTTTAATGGTTTTGGCGCTTCAAGTATACCAGTTTTCCTGGATGAGTTTAACATTCGCCCCTCCTGAGTTATAGTGTGTCCTAGGTAAATGACCTCGCTCTGCCAAAGTTGAAGTTTCTTTTTGCTCACTTTGTGTCCCTGTTCTGCCAGGAAGGTTAACAATTGGATTGTATTCCTCTTACATCCCTCCTGAGTGGGATTAGCCAATAGAATATCATCTACATAAACTAACATTTGGCTTCCTTCCCTAGGTTCAAACTTTCCCAAATTCCTAGTTATAGCCTGGGCAAAGATTGTAAGACTTTCCGAGTAGCCTTGAGGCATCCTAGCGTAAGTCCATTTCCTTCCCTGAAAAGTAAAGCCAAACCACCCCTGACTATCCGGATGAACTGGGATACTAAAGAAAGCATTAGCTAAATCTATCACTGTAAAATAGGAGTTCTCTGGTTTCAATTGGTTCAGCAATGTATGTGGATCTGGTACACATGGAGCTCTGGGAATTATATTTCTATTAACCCCCTGCAAGTCCATGACCATCCTCCAGTCGGCGCTAGGTGCCGCCTTTTTAACAGGAAATACTGGAGAGTTCCATTGTGCCTCATCTCCAGGAATTATCACCCTCACTTAAGTAAATGCTGAAATGTAGGGGTTATCCCTTTTATTGCTTCTGGTTTCATAGGGTATTGCTTTTGTTATGGTCTATTATCGGATCGAGGAATCACTTGTACTGGAGCTACCCCCTTAATTAGTCCTACATCTGCTGGTCCTTGTGACCATAATTTGAACGGAATTGCTGCTAACTCAGCCTCCTGTTCCTGAGTTAAGAAAATCTCTTCCTGTCATCCGTTAAAA